TATAGGCAGTCTGTAACAGTGTAGGCATTATTCTGTAGGCATATAGGCAGTCTGTAACAGTGTAGGCATTATTCTGCAGGTGTATAGGCAGTCTGTAACAGTGTAGGCATTATTCTGCAGGTGTATGCTTTTTATTCCCACAAGACTAACTGCTTCAGATGACTCATTATATGTAAGTTCCTCTGATTTATGAATTCAACATTACAATGTCAGCTTATTGGGATTATTATTATTACTATTATGTTTTGCTTAACATTTTAGAATTTTGCTTTTCAGATGTGGCTGCTGACACAGTTTCGTATACAGATTATTCCACTGTGGCAGAACTACCTGGTTTTATGTCCATGTGGCAGAGAGGCAGGAGGGAGGCATGAGGGCCAGAGAGGGCCAGAAAAGAGCAGAGAGGGAGGAAAGATTGTAAGGGGCTAATCTGAGTATTTTATGGCAATATCTATGTATGTTATTGGTTCATTTTAGTAAATAAAATCCAATTGTTAACTCTACTTTACAAATAAAAAGTTTACAAAGGTTAACTTATTTTTAATGCTTCTCCTAAATGGTTCTGGGAGGCATTCAGAGCCCAAAGGGTTCGCAATTATCCTATTATACTAAAAGGTATAATAAGAAGAGTGTTTGAGAATATGCACTATCTATTAAAATCAAAGCATCAAAAGCCAACCAGCCAGCAAGGCATGAACAGGCATAGCTCAGATACAAACTAAGGGCACGAAATCTCTTTCAGCTGTGGATTTAACCTTGACTTCTCATGAGAGTTGTAGCCCTTGGAGGTATGTATGACTTGCCCCAGACCAGGTTCAGAAATCCCTTTTGTGAATGGAGATGAGACTTGCTTTAATTTATTCCTTTGAAATGACTTGCTTTCGTTTGTTGCAAAATACCTTTGAGTTCTGATTTCTTGCCAGAGGGTTCAACAGAGGGTAATTACTCACCCTATGAATTCTTAGAATCCTGGGTTGAGTTCTTCTACTGTTTCAGGGACCCCTTCTGGTCTCCTGAATTCCTCACACTGTCCCGAAGAATGGCATTTCAACCTTTTGTGCCCTTGATTGAGTTGGTAGGAAATGAACACGCTGTCATTGGCTGACTGGTTTTTATTCAGATTCTGAGCAGAGAAGACTCCGTTGTCGGAGGTAGTGTGTGTGATAGGTATGTTGGGGTGCCTCTCTGGGCCTCGCAGCGTCGCCTTCATGTCACAGGCGTGCTGCGTGTCTCCCCCACATGTGCTTCACACCCTCAGACCACCCTCTCCCTTCTTTTGCAGATGCTGCACATTCCAACAATGGAGAACGGCCCCAAGCTTGCAAGCCGCATCTTGGGAAAGTTGACTGATATCCAGGTAGACAGTTTTACCAGCTGGGGTTGGGGGTCAGCTGGGAGATGGCTCAGAGGTTAAGAACATTTACTGCTCTTGAAGGGGACCTGGGTTCATTTCCCAGAACCCACAAGTCAGCTCACAGCCCTGGTTCCAGGAGATCTGGTACCCTCTTCTGTGTGCCCCAGGCACTCCACACATGTGCACACATACATGCAGCAAAACACCCTACAACAAAAAATTAAAGAAAATATTACAAAGAAATTCACCTTGAGGATCATATTCAAAAGCAGTTTGGTGAGGTGGAACATGCCTTTAATCCCAGCACTCGGGAGGTATGGGCAGGGGGATCTCTGAGTTCAAGGTCTGCCTGGTCTATGTAGGGAGTTCAGGTCCATCAGAGATACACGGTGAGGCCTTGTCTCAAAAAAAAAAAAAAAAAAAAAAAAGTTGAAATAGAAAAGATGCACCTAGAGGATCAGTGATTATAACACTTGCTGTTCATTGTGTGCAGATCCCCAGAGTCCTATGCAAATGCTGGATGGACATGGCAACCCAGCTGGTAATTCCAGCTTCTGAAAGAGAGCCAGGGGATCCCCAGAGAAAGTGGTCAGTAAGACCACCATATCCATGAGCTCTGGGCTTGATTGGGAGACCCTCCCTCTAGAGATATGGTAGAAGAGTGTCAACCTTGGGACTTGCCACACATCTGTACATGTGTGCCCACATGTACATGTGTCTATACATATAGACATGCATACACATGAATAGCACACACACAATGGGAAAAGAAAACGATAGTAAGAGATACACATGGTAGAACATTTGAGAACAACAGAACTTTTCCCTCTCCACTACATGCTCTTTAGTGGCGGAGGCACCGAATCCAACATGGGCTAGGGATGTAGCTTGACTGGTAGCGGGCTTTCTAACATGCATGAAGCCCTGGGTTGCACTGCATACAACCAATAGTGTTTTGGGTGTGTGCCTACAATTGAACACTTAGGGGATTGAGGTGGGAGGATCAGAACTTCATGGCTATCCGATATGTTGCAAGTTTGAGGCCAGCCTAGGCTACAAGAGAGACTATCTTTTAAAACAGACAAAAAAAAAAAAAAAAAAAAAAAAAAAAGCCCAATGGTCCACTCAGAACCCATACTGAACAGAGGCAAAGAGGTCATCAGCACAGGCACAAGAGATCGGAAGTGACTCAGACTCAGTCACAAAGCACAAGTACCCTGCATATCCCAGCTTGTTAAGCAACAGCGCCAACCGTCCCTAATCAAAACCACATCTTTTTTCCCTCAATTATTTTGTGCTGTGTCCTCAAGTCTCCAAATTATTCTCTTACAAGATGGCAAATTGGTTCTGTTAGCCAAGCGACTAGCTTGTCTGTTTCCAAGAAAAATAATTTTAGTAATTACTGAGAGAAAAAAAGAGTAGGATGTTACATCATGTTTGACATTTGATCTCTTTGGGTGTTACATGGAAACATGATGTTTCCCTACAAAGTGTTCTACAAAATTGAATACAAAGTAACAACCACAAAAAACAAGAGAAAGAAAAACCAAGGCTCTTGCCAGTATGACCCAGGGGGAAGTCTTTGAAACCTCAGATCTGACTTGAAGTCTATACTTCTAAGTGCTAGGCTAATCTCTTGTCCCATGGGGCCAATTATCCACATTGGTCCTGGGTCCTAGGTTACAATTAATACCTGCTGCAGGGAGAGCGTTCAATACAAGGTTGTTTTATTTCTTCTCTTTTCCCCCCATTTCTTTCCTTTTATAATCAACAAGGAAAAGCACTCCTGGGTTTGTTTTTTTTTTTTTTTTTTAACAGAAGCAGAGGTAAACTTGGACAACGCTGGCCATGCTGTCTGCTCTTGTGTTTCTGCCCACCCTAATCATCTCGGCTTCCATTCTTTGGGTAGTTTCTCTTCTCCAAATGCTCTTTGGTCCATGACGCTACCTGTCTCTGCTGAACCCCGACAGTGTGGTTGCCTCATAGCGTCATGGCAACCTTTGGTGCTCATCCCATGCAGGAACTTATCACTCAGTTTGTTTTTGTTCAGGCTAGACCTGAACCCCTGTGGGAACTTTTCAAATACCTCTTGAGCCACCTAAGACCATGAAGTTCCATTATAATTGTCCTACGTTTGTCCCCTCCTGGAGCTGTTTTAGTGCCGGAGTTTTTTACTTTCTTTTGTCTCCTGGGGCTTAGCACAGGGTCCAGGGTAGAGAATACGGTCAGTAATATTTCTCCACTGAAAGAAGGAATGAAATGCCAAGATAAATTGTTTTTAAACTAAATCATATGTTGCTCTTAAGTATTTACATATTCTAAGAAGAGATAGGAGAAATGTCTTGAATAACATGGCATTGATGGGTGTCACAGTACTAAAACAAAATTCTCGAGACTAGTAGTTTTATAACAAGAAAAGGCCTGTCTGACTCACAGTTTTAGAGATTCGACATTGGTCTGGTTTCTGAGATTGGCATTTCAGCTGGATCTACTGCCTTTTCAAGGGAATAGCCCCAGTGACCAAGCTCTACACCCTACAGTTCTGCTATCACCCTGGGAAAAGCCTTCAAACCAGAGCCACTGAAGGAGACCCAGCTGATGCCACATGATTGCAGCGTTACAGTCTTCTTCCAAAGCCGCCTTTCATGTTTCCTTAACACAGTGGATATTGACACCATGACACCTGCCTTGGGGTAGCTGGAGCCCCGGCCTCATGCATCAGGGAAAGCAGTGTGAGGAATGAGCTCTTGTTTCCTAGGATGGGAAAAGGGAGCTACAGGTTCATACTAAGGTTATTTTCATTTTATGGATTGATTGAGACAGGGTCTCATATAGCCCAGGCTAGCCTTAACTCCTATGGATCCTTCTGCCTTTATCACCCAAGTGCTAGGATTACAAGTATGTGTTGACACACTTGATTTACCAGATTTTTTTTTTGTAGATTTATTTTTACTTATGTGTAGAAGGGGATAGTAGAAGTGGAGGTATGTGCACTTGTAAGTGCTGGTGCCCATGGGGGCCAGAGAGGGCACTGGATCCCATGGATCTGGAATTAGAGACATTTGTGTGCAGACACCCAGGTGTAGCATGAATCTTAACAGTTCTTATTAATAAAATCAAACCTGATCCAGGTATTGGGGTGAACACTGGAAGATCAGAGAGACAGAACAAGCCACAGCTAACATCATCTGGCCAACTTGTCAGCTGATCTTGTTTCCTCAGACTGGAAGCCTCTGAGTCCTCATCCAGAATGAATCTCAGCTGAACTGTGCTGCTCAAAAGCCTGAAAGCTTAACCAGCCAAATGCTTCTAGTTTCTGGTCTTCATGCCTTATATATATATCTTGCTGCTTTCTACCACCACACCCTGGGATTAAAGGCTTGCTTTCTGGGATTAAAGGCATGTGTCACCATGCCTGGCTGTTTCCAATGTGGCCTTGAACTCACAGAGATCCAGAGGGATTTCTACCTCTGGAATGCTAGGATTACAGGTGTGAGTGCCACTATTTTCTAGCCTCTGTATCTAGTGGCTGTTCTGTCTCTGACCCGAGATAAGTTTATTAGGGTGCACAATATTTGGGGAAACACAATACCACCCTACCCAGGTCCTGTGGAAGGTCAGTATGTGCTCTTAACAGCCAAGCCCTCTCTACTGTAGTAAATGAGCCTGTTGTACAGCTGTGGCTTCCTGGGTTCCTGAGGGTTTGCTCAAGTCTCTGTTTTAGACTGAAACACGTGCTTTTTTTGCCTTTGTCATAGTACGGAAGGGTGGAGAGTGACTGGACGACAGTGCTACCCTGATGGAAACCCCATCGGTCGGTGATGTGCCACAGAAGACGGACCTCCGCCCAACCGTGACCGCCTCTTAGTAGTTTTGCATATTGTAGTTGCGGAGTTCATGTTTTACCAAGTGGCGGTTTTTCCTTGAGCCACAGAAAACTGCCAATGCCAAATGTCACCTGTGAACGTGGTAGTAGTAATTGCTTCCTGTAGCATTCTCTGGAAAGATGATGATAAATGCCTACCCTTGTTCTGCACAAGATCCAAATGTCTGTTCCTTAGTAGAAGGTAGGGTTCCTCAACCAATGAGACCTCTGTATGTGCAGAGGACACCTGAGGACATTTCCTAGGTGGCATCCCTGTGGCTCATGGGTGTCAGAAACACACAGAACAGGGCTTTTTTTTTTTTTTTTTTTTTTGTTGTTGTTGTTGTTGGGAGTAGGACTCCCTAGGTATCCCTGGCTGGTCTGGTATTCCCTAATGTCTGCCCAGGCTGGTCTCAGACTCATGGCAGTCCTCCTGTCCCAGCCTTCTGAATGCTGGGATGACAGGTGTGTACTATCATGCCTCATTTTTTTTTCTTTTAACGAATTTGGTCCCCTGGATTTCCTTCCTCTATGCTTTTTTGTAGGTCCTTAAGTCCAAGCTAAAGGCAGTCTGTCCTTCTTGGTATTATGGTCTGCCCCAGTCTCTGGGTGTCTGTGAGGCTCATGCTCACTGTGCCCCTGTCCTCTTTACATAGTATTATAACTGGCTGCTCACTGTGCTGCTATGAGACTAGGGGTCCTATGCCTTCTGGATCTCTGTGTCCTCGAAGCCCAGCACAATGTAGGTATTCAGCACATGTTTACTATAGAAATGAACATAGAAGTATACTTCCTGTCTCTCCATGCTGAAGCCCTCTTGGGAGCCAGGCCTAATTCTGGCACAGGTAGCAGTAATACCTCAAGCTGTCTTTCTTGTCCGTGGAAGACGTCACAGTCAGTAGGAAGAATTATCTTATAGTTTAAGATTATTATCATTGGAACTGAAGTGATTGCCCTGGACAGAATTCATGATAAAGTAACAACCACATGGAAATTACTGATGCTGTACATTAAATCTTAAATGCCAAATAGAGGGGTAGGCAGGGAGATACACTCTGGATTTTGATCTTAATCTGCATTTTGTACCATTCTCTTAGGTGAGCATTAATGAGCATCTGGCGAGATAACAGAATAATTCCAGAGAGTGTTTTCCTTGTTTAGGAACTGTGAGTGAAGAATTCTTTCATCTCCCAGTTTATCCAGGAGAAATTCAGGCCTTGATAGAAAGCACTCACCCTTGAACGTCAGCTCTCAGCCATGGTACTGTGGCTTCTTGGTCGCAGTGGCCTTCATCTTGCTGATGAAACTTGGGTCTCTTTAGCGTTCCAGGGGAGGACATTGTAAAAACTTTATCCATTAGAGACATTCCTTAGAGACATTTAACAATACACAGAACTTTGGTTCTGTTCCAAAATATTTAGCTGTTGGGTCTTTTAGACAGAAACAGCAAGAAACCGGGAGAAGGAGAATGTGCAAGGAGATGGTAAAAATACGTCTTCGTGGGCCTTTCCCTTGGTGACTGAAGTCTTGGGTGAGGGTGTCTGGCTGCTCTCCATCCTTTCCTGCACATGTTCATGAGGCAGCATCCTCAGAGATGCTCTGGCTTCCCACACCCTTTGACCTCGTCTTTAGTATCTGTCTGGGAGAGCTGTAAGTGTATTAGTGGTCAAGTAGTGCAGAATGACCAGGCTGAGTTGTCTGAGAAGGGAGATGACTTGTCTGCCCCGAGTCCACTTTAGATTTTACATTTCTAAATTAACAGTGGCCTGTGTGATGGCTAGAGAGTGTGTTATGACCTCTTACATAAAAACCTCTTGAGCTTTCCATCAGACTCAGTTACAATGGAAGGCAGGACATGTTTAAAAAAAAAAAACAAAAACCTGGAGGTCTGATACAGAGCTCAGTCTGCCATTCTTATTGAAGTAACAGGACAGGAGATCAACTTTGGAAATGACTTCTTAAGCAGGCATAAAAGGAATGTCTGGAATACTTTTTTCCTTGTGCACTATCTATTCAATTGCAGGGGCATAATGCAGCAGGAGGGTTACATTGTCAGCAGGCAATTACCCCTTCATCAAGACTCACTTATCCCAACACTAATTGATCATTAAAACAGAATGGCATTAGGAACATGTAAGGCTAATCTGTTGGGTGCAATCAACAAATTAATATTATTGCTGATATTTGCATAACTGACTGCAATTATTTCCTGTTTAATTGGGTTGATCCAATGAGATTCATCAAGTCCCATGTGAGCAAGTATAAACATAACTAAACACAACTGGTAGCTTAAGAGGATGGTTAGCTTATCTTGCATATCTTGGTTTGTCAGCTTTCTCCAGAACACATGTGAAAACCAGGAGTTTGAAAGGTAGAGAGAATCGGAGCCTTGGCTAATGTGGTTTGCTGATGGAAATGTGGTTATTAGAATCAGTTTATCAAGGATTCTACTAAGGGTGCTTAAGAAGAGGCCTCAGGTCCTGAGAAGTGCTTTGAGCTGTCACAGAGAAGGGGGGGGGCTGCATAAATGAGCGATTTCTGGCCTCCTGTTCTTACAGAGGCACAAACAGAAGAGGAAGTGACTGAGAAACTTTGTTTTAGGGAGCCATGTTTTTTCCTGCTGAAAGAAATAAGCTGTAGTGGGGTCTAGGGAGATAGCTCAGTGGTTAAGAGAACTTGCTGCTCTTGCAGGCACCCAGGGTTCAGTTCACAGTACCCACCTGGCAGCTCTCAACTGTCTTAGTTCCAGGGGATTTGATGCCCTCTTCTGGCCTGTAGTGGTACCTACATGCATATGGTGCACAGATAATACACTGAGGCCCACATACATATAAAGTAATCTTAAACAAGCTGTGTGTTGATGTAGTGTCAGCTCCATGAAGAGGTGGAGTGGCTACCTCAGCCACTCTGGGATACAATCCCTATTGTAGCACTTGTTGCTTGATAATAACACATCTCAACAAGCCGCCTTCCCTCTGCGGAGCATTCCTGGGCACGCAGAGATGGGTGTGAGCACAAGGGAAGAAAGACTTCTTGTCACTTCTGCACTTTGGGTTTGCTTTAAGGGAATTAGCTGAAGCATGAAGCTGCCCCTGGAAGTTCTTTTCTTTGCCTCCCTAGCTCTGTGTTCTACAGCGTCCTTTCTTCAAAATCATATTTAACATCTGTGACTGAGGCCGACAGCCTCTTGGGACACAACAGCTGCTCATTCCCACTGGATGGTAACTTCTAAGCTATGTAGAGCAATAGATACTTTTGGATCACATCAAGGCCAAGGACTTCGCTGTTTCATGTCCTGACCCAAATAAGGTAAAGGAACCCTTCCTTGCTGAGTGGGTTTCTTATGAACAGGCAAATGCTGCAGTTCCAGGCCATGGGTCCAGGGAGTGATTTCAGGGACATAGGACGATAGCAACTGTCACTGTTTTGACGCAGGTAGAACTTGTTCAGCTTTCTATGGTCCACATATCTATGCCCCCTAAGAAGCAAAGGGTTTCAGATTCCTTTGTGTTATGTGTTACTGGACAGAGGCCATGAAGATGCACACTGATTGCATGCCCACAATGTACACCTCACACAGCCAGCAGTAGGATAGGAAGTTCCCACAGAAAGTAAGTAGCATGTAAACATTACCTCATGGAGCGTGTGGGCTGATAACCGAACTAACTTTAGCCATAAAGTGATGCTAAGCAGACAACAGAAGGACCTCAGAGCACAGCTCTCTAAGCAAACATGTTTGGTTTCATTCTTTGTAAGGAAGTCTTTGCTGCGTGTGATCTTTTCTGCTGCTTCAGGAAGTTAGAGCTGAGTTCCCGTCCTTGTGTCTGGATTTCCACCAGGCTCACCGTTACCCACCCAGGGCATCTACCATCTGCATTCTTATCTGTTACCTCATTCTCCTGAAGCAGTGTTGTTGTCAGGTGCATCCAACAGACCGTCCGTGTCTGCACCTCTGCTCATCTCAATAAACTCAAAGCAGGATTATGTGTAAAAGAAGCAAAGGAAATGACCCCAGAGAAACATTCCGACTGTTATCTTGAGTGAGGAAAGCTGTTGAAACGACAGCTCAGAAGGAACAGGTCAGCCACTGGAGTTCTCACAGAACTGTGATTTTCAGTTGGAGGTCCTTGTTTTCTTTAGTGCTGGGGGCTGAACACTAGACAAGAGCTCTACTACTGAGCTGCACCTCCCTCTTTCTTTTTATTTAGTTACGTCATCTCACTTTTGATGCCCAAATTTGCAGACTCTGTAACCTAGGCCGGCCTTAGATTTTCAATTTTTCTGCCTCAGTTGAGAGCCACCAGGCCCAGTTTCAGTTTGAGGATTTGAATACAGAAATAAAAGCCACCGGTTCTGGTGGCACATGCCAGTAGGATTAGCTGAAGGAAGTGGAGGCAGGAGACGAGTCTGAGGCTAGCCTGGGATACACATTAAAAACAAACAAACAAAAAAAAAAAAACAAAGGCCATTTAAAATATTACAAAGTTTATTTTATTCCTTTTTAAATTATTGTTGAAAAGCCTGGGTAGAATTAAGAACCTTTGACCCTTAGTGTGTGTTCCATTGTGGGATGGCTCATCCATAACCGGCTTGCAGGCCTAAACCAGCCACAAAGATACTTTCTGAGAGCCAACCTGGGTCTGCCTAAGGGCCTTAGCAACAGCAGCTGAGACATGATCTGGAGATGACCTGGACCAATGAGAGGCAGCCATGTCACACTATCAGATGCATATTCATCAGACTTCCTCCCCTAGGGTGGGGTGGAGAGTATACAATGCTTGCCTCTTCCTGAATAAACTGAGCTTGTTGTTTTGACATTCTCTAGGAATCAGTGTCATTGACTCTGTGCCTACTTGGCCTCCTCCCCAAAAGGGAACAACAGCACAGGACCCTGCCACATTCCATAGTAAAAGACTTCTGAGCTGTTTAATTTGAAGAGGTTGGTCATGAAATTTAGGAAGACCATAGTAGTGTTTGTGGGTAATAATTCCATGCGGCCATACTTGCTTTAATAAGTGACAAAAACATGAAATTTAGGACAGGTATAGTGGCATATGCCTTTAATTTCAGCACTCAGGAGGTAGACACAGGTGGATCTCTGTGAACTTGAGGCCAGCCTGGTCTACAGAATGAGATTTGGGATAGTCAGGGCTACATAGGGAGACCCAGTTTTTTTTCTGAGGGAATAACAAGGAAAGCATGAAATTCAGCCGTAGAAACCAAAGTGTGCTTTAGAACCTATTGGGTGTGTGTTTTGAGATTTCAGACCATCCACCTGAAGGTGTCCTTTTCATGATGGACCAGATGTCAGAGCTTTGAGACCTCAGTGGTACAATGTTTAGTTACGTCTTGCACCGAGATCCTGAGAGCTAATGGAAGCCAATGAGTGGGAGAGAGTAAAGTATCGCACTGAGAGACATGTCTGCAGACCACTGCCACATGGTGATGACACAAGGTAGCAGTCACTGAATGAAAATAAGAGGACAAATGGAGGTGGTTAGGAGAAAAGGGATGGGTTATCTGGGGGTGCAAACTATTTTCATGCTGTTCACAGAAGCCTCCTTATTCTGCCAGGCCCGTGCCAAGTACAGTCAGTGTCATCAGGGGCCACTCCAGCTCGTCCCTTCAGATGCTCAGGCTAAGCTTTGCGGTTGTAACCTGGGGGTCCTGTTGTGTGGAAACCCTTTACTAATGTCCAGTTGGGTAAGCACCACAGTGTGTGAGCCTTGTTGTGTCTGGTCTTCAGTGATTGCATTCTCAGGTTCAGAAGCCCTAACCCAAATAACCAGTGATGACCAGACTGTGGCTTTTCCTCCCTTCAAAGCCCTGGACCCTCTCTATTCTCACTCCTTGGTGAAAATAATGTAGCTTACAGCTAAGATAGGGCACCATGCTGTTGTTCCCTCTGGCTGCTTTCATGAGGGCCTGGAAGTCATCCTCAGGGTTGGGGAAAGGATGGACATAGCTCTTCAGTCCCCGTGGCTCTGGTTCCTTTCCCAGGAATGCAGAGTTCTTTCAGTTCTCTGTAGATTAAAATCAGGTCTCAAAAAGACCTGGGCAGATGAGGCAGGAGGATTTCTGTGAGTTCTAGGTCAGCCTGACCTTGAGTTCTAGTTTAGCCTGGAATACAGGGTGATATCCTCTTTGTGATGTAATTAATAAGCTTCAGACACTAAGAAGGCTGAGGCAGGAAGCTGGGAATTCAATCTTCAGTCTTAGAAGCATAGCAAGACCATTTCAAGATCCAACTAGCCAGTGTGTACAAATCCACATAGCTGTAGATCTTTCGCTGCTGACGTCCAGTGAGGAATGCTCCCACAGCATGTCTGGGCAGCTACAGCTCTACACGGGAGGCCTGAGCTACACAGGCCTAGGGTCTGTACCCCTTTGCCACCATGCCTGGCAATTTAGTGGCTGAGAGCAAATATGCACAGTGAGTTTTGACATCAGAGATTATGAGTGGGAACAGAGTCAGCTGAACAATAGTGTCTCAGCCAGCCCTCCTGTATCAGTATTGGGTTAACCACATCACTGCAAGGCCCAGCTTCTTTTTTAAGCAGACAGAAAGAAACACTGTGAGCAAGGCTCAGCTTTCAGGGAAGGTGGTTAGAAGGTCTTGACAGGATTTAAAGGGATGGCAGTGTAAAGATGGTGATGTGGAGGATGCTGGGTAAAGGAAATTACCCCATTCTTTGAAGGGTTTGTAGAAACTCAAGTAAGCGCCCAAAGTTGGCTTTGTTGTATCACAGCCATCTCATATGAAGCACTCTATGTTTGTGTTAAGGACCCAAGGTGATTGTATTTTGCTGGCAATAGATAAATTCTTCATTGTTGGCAGGTTCTTCAGATCTGTGATTATGAACACTCCTCTGCTGCCAATAAAACAACTGAAAAACATACTGTTTGTCTCATGTCTTGAGACTGACAAGGCTGCATGTGTGAAGTTATAGTATGTCCCAAGGTTTCTGGCCGGTGGTGGTAGTGAATGGAATGTGCATCTTTGAACCACAGCAGCACCAAGAAGCTGAGGATTGAGGGCACCAGAGACCTGAAACCACTTAACCAGAGAGAGTCTAGGTGTCTCCATCTCAAATGTTTGAGCAAGAAATAAAATGGGCATTTAAAGACCACCCCAGGCTGGTGAGATGGCTCGGAGCAGAGGTGCTGGGCACCTAGCCTGATGACCTAAATTCTGTCCCCAGGACTGACCTGGTTGACCTCAGCCCGTGTGTCAGAATGCTCTCACCACCCCTAACACACGCATAAATAAGTAAACAAACCAACCACCTCCCCTGGCTGCAGCATTTTGTTCCTTTCAGTGCTACACACTGGGCAACTTCAAACATCAGCTTGGGTGTGTCTGAGGGAGGGCTTTTCAGAGGGTCACCTGAAGGGAGAAGGACCTGCCCTCGGTTTGGGTGGCAACCTCTCATGGGCTGCGATCTCAGACACAAAGCGGAAAGGAGCCTGATGGGTGAAGGAATTCCTGTTTCTCTGCCTACTGCCTTATCAGAATGTGAACAAGCAGCCTTCCATCTGGTCATGAAGCGTTCCTGCTGTGAAGAGCACATCTCCCCAGGCTGAGTCAAAATCAATCCTTTTTTCTCTGACTTGCTTTTGTTAAGATATTTAGCAATGAGCAAAGTCACTAAAACTGGTCTTTTCTCATCCACTGCCATGAGTTCACCTCCCTGACGAATGGTGTACGGCATGTGGCTAGTCACCTCCAGAATACGAAAAAACTTTTCAAAGGAAAAGATACCTGGTCAAGACCCTGAGAGTATGAACAAGACTTTGTATTAGGCCTTGAGTAAATTGCCCTCAGATGCACTTGCCTTTGAGAGAATAAAGCTGAATTCAGACTTGTCCAAATGTACTTGTTACATGTAGCAATAATGCCCACGCTACCACCACCCGTTCACCATGTCCGAGCGAGGGGCTGTGGATCGAAAAACAGAGACAAAGACAGTGGGTCACTCACCTCAGCAGAATGCGGAATGCCGTTTATTAAAGGAAGGAGGAAACCTTAAATACAGGCTTACAGCACAATGGGAGAATCCCAGAGGGCAGAAGTTTGCTACAGATTGTTCTACATTCTTGCATCTAAGCTGTTAACATCCAATATGCAGGATACACAGACAAGGAACTTCGCTTAAGCATTCAGAACAGTGGATACTGGCAGGGAATTAGCATAGGGAGGACATCTGGTCAAGGTTGGCAAGCAGGCAATGAGCTTCTGACTTAGGTTCTGTGGGATGTCAGCAGGTCACCTTACCTGTCATGGAGACACCTGCCCAGGCCACACAAGTGCTCTGTCTTAGGTTGGTGAGCGCCCCCCCCCCAAGCATTACCAGTCTGAAGACTCATCATACAGGCTCAACCACGTGAGCTGTAGAGTAAACTGTTGCCAAAGATCTCAAAGTGGCGCTGGGCTTGCAATCTGTGCGACACAGAAAAGACCAACAGAAGTCTTAACCCACCCATAGCCAGGAGGCTAAAGGCAATTGAACCATTCCCTTCCTTTGAGCCTTATGCAAATTAGAGTCCTCATGAGATGGTGTCACAAAGGCAAATGGAACTTGTTTTAAATTTTACAACTTATAAAGCCAATTCAAATGTATATAACTGTTGAAGTAAATTTATCATGCCCAATAGAATGGAAGATTAATTAACTGTGGTAGCTACTTTTGCTGCCAGGGTCTCCATTGTGCTAGCTGCAGTAACCAATTATGAAATGGCAATCCCAGAAACAGTAGCAGCAGTGGCCACCACTGCTATAACAGAAACAACGGCAACAGTGATGTCAGATTCTCTTCTGGAGCATGTGAGCATCATCTGTGTCTAACTGCCACAGTCCACTGGCATGGACACAACAACTCCAGAAACAAGAACCGCCAAGGTCCATTTTTCTTGATCCCAGCATGACTTAAGCTGGCAGCTCTGCAAAAGAAAAACTGAGAACCATAAAGAAAAACAGACAACAAACAAGGAGCAGGACTAATTGTCTCATAATGGCTACATTCAGGCTCACAAATTTTAAGGGATCTTCAAAAGAGGCTAGATGAATTTCAGGAGGCCAATAGATGTTGCACAGAGCCACTCCTGAAAAGTAGGGTACTACACCAGCTTGAAGGAAAAGGCTTAGCTGGCATGCTACTGTTAACAAATGGAGGTCAGTGACCCTCAGGGTTATTCCTAATCTCCAAGGTGTCTGAGTGACACATTCTTAAACATACTTGAAAGAGCAGTTACCATACATTACCTTCTGGAGAATCCAACCGCATGGCTACAGTTCCTAGGCTTACATTAATGTTTGCCAAGTCTAGCCATATTGGGCTCTCAATCCCCATTGGCATCAGAAGGGGAGAGTTCTTCACAAAGGCCCAATAGGTCTCTGCCATGTTGGGATTCAGCAGCAGCCACAGGGTGCACGCAGCGCTCAGGAACCCAAAGAGGAATCTCATTGTCCTGTGGAAAGACACAAACAGATCCCCGGGCCCACACCAACACCGGATCGGGTCCCCTCCAAGTGCCAGTAGAAAGATCCTTCCCATCACACCAGAGGATGATTTGTAACAGGAACCCTCCAGTGCTTATCTGCAGCAGATACTCCAGTAGAGTCCACTGATAAAAAATTTAAAGTATATAAAACAAGGGAAAGAATAAAATATGGAGAGGAGGGATGAGCCCCTAGTTCCCCCTTTTTACTTTAGCAAAATATGTTTTTAAGGTACAATGGCAGTGTTCTACTATAGCCTGTCCTTGAGGATTATAAGGAATACCAGTCTTATTAATGATAGAAAACTCTTGGCAGAATTTTGAAAACCCAGTACTGCTGTAGGCGGGACCATTATCAGTTTTTATGCATTTTGGCACTCCCATGTAAGCAAAAGCATGAAGACAATGATTCTTTACATCCTTAACCTTTTCCCCTGAATGGGCAGAAGCAAAAATTAGAGAGGAATATGTATCAATAGACACATGGACATATTTTAATTTTCCATAGGAAGGCACATGTGTAACATCCATTTGCCACACATGATTAGGGAAAAGTCCTCGGGGATTAACTCCCAAATGAGGAACAGGTAAAAATTCAGCACAAATAGGACATGATTTAACTATCTGGATGGCTTGTTCCCGGGTTATGCCCATATGATGACGAAGAGATCCAGCATTAAGATGATAACGTTGATGCAACTGAGTAGCCTTATCAAAGGCAGAACAAACTAATATGACAGCCATATGAGTAATGGCATCAGGCCTTTGATTACCTTCACTTAGAGGTCCAGGCAATTGAGTATGAGCTCTAATATGGCCCACATAAAGGTTATGTGAGCAGGATGATATAAGTCCTTGCACTTGCAATAAATATTCATGAATGGGAGAAATGGATGGTATGTAGGCTGCTGTCTCCAAAGGCATAACTGCATGTGCCACATATTGGCTATCAGTATAAATGTTTAGAAGCTCATCAGAAAACATCTGTAAAGCAAGCAACAGTGCCTGTACCTCCGCCATCTGGGCAGAAGTACCCTGAACTTTCATTCTCTTCACTATATTACCAGAAACTACCACAGCAAAACCACGTGAAGTGCCATCAGTAAATACCACATGGGCCTGAGGAATAGGAATCATCTGTACTATCTTGGGAAATATAACAGGATGTAATTTAAAAAATTTACACACATCATTGGAGGGGTAATGAGTATCAAACTGACCCTGTATGGAGCATGTCAATATGGCCCAATCATTATCATTAGCTTGCAACCATGCTATTTGAGACTAGGTATATGGAGTCACCACAATATCTGGCTCCTTACCAAAAGTTTGAACACTGATCTTGATTCCCTTAAATATAATCTGAGCAACAGCCTGTGGATAAGGAGTGATGGTTTTTGCTGGAGAAGCTGGGGAATGTACCCATAGAATAAGACCTGTTTGCTAAAACACTCCAGTAGGTGAATGAGTAAAACAAAATATCAAATACAATAAGGGAGAAGAAAGATCTATATACTGCACGTGAGCCTGTTCCGGGGCCTCTTGCACACGTTGTAGGGCTACATGTCCTTCAGCTGTTAATTCACAGGGAGATGAAGGGTCAGGGTCGCCCTTTAAGACATCATACAAAGGACAGAGTTGACCTGTTGGAATCTTTAAAGCGGGGCAAAGCCATTGAATATCTCCTAGAAAGGTTTGGAAATCATTAAGTGTGCGTAGCTGATCCATACGCAGAGTAATCTTTTGTGGACGTATGCCTGTGTGTAACAATTCATGACCTAATAATGATAGGGAAAGGATACCTGTACCTTTTCTGGGGCTATCTGTAAATTAGCCAGGCTAAGAACCTCTTGTAGTTTAGAAAAGGCATCAAAAACAAGTTTTTTGGTTTTTTGTTTTTTTTTTTTTTAATCTTTAGCAGCCAATAATATATCATCCATATAAGTCAGTCACAATTAAATGCCAATATGCCAATATTTAGGAATTGCCACAGGAGCAGGCAAACCAGGCTGTGTTGCTCCCATGAGAAGCATGATTTTATTTATAGCTCTTAGGTCTTATAATAGCCACCATTTTCCTGACTTCTTTAAGAGGCCAGTTGGGATCTCAGGATTCTTGTGAAATTATAGATATATCCAGTACCAGAATCCAATAATCTTTTAATCTCAATCCCATATAATTTTATTTTTAATTTAGGCTGCTTATCATTGATAACTGTCAAAACACCTTTCCTCCTGTACTTCCAAAGCCTCCAGTTCTACATATAGGTGCCATTTTGCATTTAAAATATGAAAGCAATAATAATTGAACAATTCTATCACCAGCTTCTATTTCTATGGTCCTTTTTACATATACCAATTATAAAATCATTAAATACAATCTCTATAGGATTTGAAGAG